ACACAACTGTTTTAAGTCCTACCCTGCTAACACGAAAGCAATTGTGTTAAAGTAACTAAATATGATTAAGTAAATGCAAAAAATGATGGTTTTAAAACATGCTCCCCTTCCTCTTTGTACATGGTAGTTTAGTTTAGTTAAGTTTTAATAGTTTTAGTTAATAGTTTTAAATTGAAAAATGTTTGACTTGGAGCTGAATGATTTTTCTTAATAAACTCTTTTATTTTGAACAGAAGTTACGGTGAATTTCTTCCATATATGTGCAGAATTATCTGTTTGACCATGATTAGAGCTCGAATCACTCCTTCATTTATTGTTCTAACATACAGCTAGTAGGACGTGTGTCATAAACAATATATAACAGCTGAAATAATATCTGATTAAAAAAGATATTTTACACATTTGAACACCTCTGGTCTATTTAAAATGTCTGTATTTTAAACCAGTTCTTGTGGTGTATATATTTTGAATCCTACCATTTTGTTTTGTATATTTTTAATGGGATTTCTGATGTGAAACTCAATAAAACAATTTGATTATTATTACTATGGAGGATCTGTATGGAAACAGGTGGCGCTCAGCTGCTATTAAAGGATTTGCTGTAGGGGGCGCTGCAGCTCTACATTTAGGATAAAGCGCGTGAGCCTGAGATGGAACTCCTTCAGAGAGAGGCTGCGGTTCTCACCCAGGTCCAGGGAGTCGGCGTGGGGCCGATGAGAGAAGGAGGTGCTTTTGAACACCTGATCCAGCAGCTTCTCCTTCACCTGCGTGATGGTGTCACAGTCCAGCACTTTGCAGGGCAGGGGCTGGCTCTCGTTCACCCCTCCACCCTGCACCAGCACATTCAGCGTCTGCAGACGGAGCGGAGGAGAAGGAGGAGAGTAAAAACCCTCTGAAGGTCATGGGAACCTTCCTCTTGTTTGGATTAGAGGGTGCTCTGTTCTCACCAGCGTCTTGTACTCCACGTCCTCTCGCAGCAGACGGTTATCATTCAGCGTGTACTTGGCCTTGCGTGTGACAGCATCCACTGGCCCTTTATCTACCTGGTGTTTTATGGCCTTGAAGAGCATGAAGAGAGACTCGCCGGCAGAGTCCTACACACACAGAGACACAGCACACACACAGGGATCAGTATTGGCCACGCCCACTGTGGAGGAGAGACTGAAGGGCCCAGACAAGGACAGCCGGGGACATTTAGGGCCTCCACTCTTTCTCTGAATACAAACACAGACAAAACCTTGAAATGACACGTTGGATCTTAAATGCCTCTATAATCTATTTACGTCTCACAGCATCATTAGAAGAACATGAACCCTTTATACCGCTTTAAACTCACTTCTCTCTACAGAACATGACCATGTTCACACATGGTTGTTGCCATGGTGGCGCTCCAAAGCAGAGGACAAGAACAGCTCCTCTCGACAATTTCGTTAAGTTCACATAATATGCAGCTAAATACGATACAGACATCAAACTGGCATCTATGATCGCCAACGCCTGCACGAGCTACGGTCTCAAAATGTTTTAAATCCAGACATTTTTGGCTGTTTCAGAAGCTGCGGAGTGCTACGGATGGATGTAAACAAAAAAAGAGCGGAACAGAACTGCCGGGGGAAGAGATGTACGAGTCGGCCTGCCATGCACATGGGCATTGTCAGTTTCACTATAGCCTGGTGAATTTCCATGGCCAAGTCCTCTGGAAATCTTCAATAATTCCCATTCCAATTGATTTTGCTTGTAAAACAGGGAGAATGGCGCTAGGTCATCGTCCGGCTGTGATGTCACTGCTGACATCACAGTCGGAAGATGTTACTATGTCTAATGGACAGATTTTTCTGTGGCATTTTTTATTTTTTCTCAACCAACCCGCCTCCTAACTTTTACTTAAACATATATCGAAGTAGCTCCCGTTTAATGCTGCTGTGTCTCTCCTCCAACCATGTAGCTACTATGTTATGTTCACAGTGAAATGCGACCGTAAATCAAATGTCGTAAAGTGACAGATCCAATGAAGTTACACTGAGAGGCGGGACACAGGAGCAGCGGGAGAGAGGAAAAAAAAAACGAACGAAAAACCCCCGAAAAAAAAAAAACGCAACCAACCTCCGGTAACCTTGGCCAAAAGAAAAGAAGGGAAAAGGGGAAAAAAATCTGAAATTATTAGTGGGACTGCCTCCACCAGTCCTTCAGAAAGTTACGCCTGTGCAAGCCTGTATTAGAAATGTTATTTTTCTTATAAAAGGCCCAATCTTCACATCAGGCTTTAGGATTCAGGAGGTTTTCTAATAGAAGGAGCTCTATGTAGAGTTCATGTTTTGGTCTAAATAATATTCAGTCAGGGTGAAACCAGCTGGAGCAGCTATTGATAGGAGAAATGCTCTCCATGCACTCACTGACCCTGAGGAAGGTGTAAAGACAAATGGACATCCAGTTGGTCAGCAGTTTCTCCACCACACTTTCCGTCCTGCAGACAAACACAGCTACCGTTTCAGAAGCGTTTCAAAGCTCAGGATCTGATTCTCATCCCACTACTCTTCTTACCTTCGCAGCATGAGTTTGGGATTCTTGGCCACGTACTGTTCCACCAGATCATTCAGCAGAGTCTTGAGGATGTCTGTGAAATACTCCAGCTTGCCGTGAAGAGCCACCGTCAGCAGGGACGCCACGTAGGCTCGGTCTCTGGGAGAGAACGTCCGCTGGCTCTCCAAAGTATGGATGAACTGAGGAGGAAACACCAAACGCTCAGTGGCGGCGTTCTTTTCAGTTCATTTACATCGCGCACAATTCCCATACGCCATGTTGATGTGATGATGGATACCTTTGTGAGGAAGAGTTTACTGTTCAGCAGGTTGGACAGCTGGACCAGGCCCTGCTCCACCGTCTGCCGCCGACAATCCTGCATGTCCAGACCGCGCCTCAGAGGAGACTCGCGGTGGCCGGGGAAAAAAATGCGTTCCGCATACATCCGGTAGTCGAGGAAGGGAATCCCCGAGCCCACCAGGTCGCTGGACATGTCCATCATCTCCGTCATCAGATCTGGGTGGGGGAGACAGGTGGGCTCAGTCACCAATCGGCCTTTTTCTGACCCACTTTGGTCAAAACTAAATTTTTTATGTCATAATTGAAGCTGCTAAACAAAGCTGAGTTAAACCCAACAGAGAAGGAAGGACTTAAAGGATAAGAGACATAAAATGCATCTTCACTGGATGAGTCCTGTGTTTCTCTGCTGATCTCTGGCTGCCAACTCTTACCTGTAAACTCCTTTTTGCATCGGTCCCTCACGCTGGTCTCCAGGTTCTCCAGCTGGATCTGGACCTTCTTATAATCCCTCAGAGCCTGCTTACTCTTCCTCCTGGTGGAAAGCAAACAGAGCAAAGCAGGGGGATTATGCAGGACGTTTCTGATGATGGATGATTGGACTGAGGTCTGGAAAAGCTTTGCAATGGATCAGATCACAGCATTAACCTTCAGAGCTGCCTTCAAAATAAAGCTCTCTGTCCAGACAGGGGTCCAAACTATCAATACCCTGAAAAGAAACAAGGCCACGCCTGTAGCTTTAGCAGATCACTGGCCACCCTCAGCCAACCATTGGCCACACTCAGCCAACCATACGCCACACTCAGCCAACCATACGCCACACTCAGCCAACCATACGCCACACTCAGCCAACCATACGCCACACTCAGCCAACCATTGGCCACC